CCTGTAACTCATGAATTAAATAGTTATATTTATCAACTAGATTTGTTTGGACCTTCTCCATTTCTAACAATGATGAATTTACGTTTGCTATTATTGATCGCATAATTTGGGTTTGAGTGTCGACTAACTGCAAAACCCGTAATTTCGAATTTTCTAAATCTTTTATTCTATCATAGAAATACTCTGCGTCGGCATCGTCGCAAACTCCGAATAAGACATTCGCTAATCTGCCAACTGCATTTATTAAACCTCTCTTTTCACGATGGTTGTCTTTTGGGGACTCTATAATTCTCATTATGTGTTCTATATTATTATTGATTTCTGTTAAAAAACTATTTGTCTGATGTTTGTACTGACCACAAGTACGTTGGAAAGATGTTACTTCCAGGGATTGACTTAGTTTACAGGATTCTCCTATTTGCTTAATCATATTAACGATTTTACCATATTTTTCATTATAATTAGTTATATTAACGTAAGTGAGGAATCGCCAAAATGAATTATCTACACGTAGGTTATTAATTGAGTGGAAATATATCCCTGATGGGTTGTATATAGGGGTTATGTTGAATTGATTTGCTTTTGTTTTTCCAAATATAATTCTGAAAAAAGAAATACCGAAATAATTTGAAAGAGAACAAATAGAAGAAATGAAGAGAAGAGAAAAAAAACAAATTTATATATTATGTACGAATAATAAATTGGATAAGTACACGTAGGTTATTATCCCTGATGGGTTGTATATAGGGGTTATGTTGAATTGATTCGCTTTTGTTTTTCCAAATATTATTCTGAGAGAATAAAAAAAAAATAATAAATCTATATATTATGTACGAATAATAAATCGGATAAATAGTTGTTTGTATACACAAAAATCTGTATTATCTGGTATTTAAATATTACGTGTTAGTTGCGAGTTTAACCTCGTTTTTATGTAATTTAATTTCCTTTCTACCTCGTTGGATGGTAATATTTTCATTGCCGTGTAACTGTATCACACTGTAAAGACCAACCCACTTAGGTCCTAATTTTCTCTTTTGTTGGTGGTTCTTCACCCAAACTTGATCATCAACTTCTATATGTATTTGTTGCTGTCCCTGATCGTATTTTCCTTTTGATTTTTCCTTGCTATTTATTATATTATCTCTGGCTGTCTTGTACGTTTCTTGTAATTTTTGTTTTAATTCATATATGTAGTCTTCATAATTATATCTCGCCTGAGGAGCTCGG